TCCCTTAGTTGATGACATGCCTTCGTCAATCAGGAAATTGACCTGTTTCTGCAACCTTTCACACAAAACCCCCAAAAGGCCACATTTCCACGGAGGCAGGAAGTACATTGGCCCAGGCTCAAGTGGATTTGATGGGAAGTGCATCTGATGAGGACAGAGAGGGAAAAACAAGGATGAAAACAATTGACAGCTCTGTCTCTTTATAACAGTTTTATAAACTTTTGTACTTTAGGAAAATGTGCAATAATGAATATTACCTGCTGTGCAAAATCAAAGCTGTAGTGCATCCTGATTTTCTTAGTTGCAGCTGGGGAGGGACCAATAGACAATTGATAGTCCATACAGGTTTTTTTGCAGGCAGCTATCATCTCATTGTACACGGCTCTCTTTTTTTGCACAAGCTGAAGATGATCCTGTTGCTATTTGATTACTTCAGTCTTCTTCTCATCTGGAAGGTTTGCACTTCTTATCAGGTGTTCGTTATTCTGTTGGCATTGCCAGCAAAGATTTTCAGGAACGCGTTCAGCTTGTTCTATCTTCGTTCAAAAACATAAATCCAACAGCACGAGAAGCCTACCTGTTTAAGTAGCCATGTGTTTCTTGCAAATCTGCATATTATTGGCCAAAACCAATAAGAAACGGTGTGAAGACCTCCGAAACCAGCCAAACAAAGTCCGCATGTTAATCAGCTGTGAGTTTCCCCACCCCGATACGTAAATCCCGGCTGGCTCTTTTTTACTCTGAAAACAAGCTGAATTTAAACTTTTCAACTAGTATATTTTGCAAAAAAACAAGTTTCACTATTTTCTCGGAAATTGAAGGTTTTATTGCTTTTTTTCAGTTTGAGCGTGCACAATATGTTCCTGCTTTTCCCGTGGCGTATCACATATTGTATAATGTAATGATTTTTCCATATTTACTCTATTGTATTGAAGTTTGGGGAAAAGTAGAGGTGCACCGATTTTTATCCACCCCAAATTCCTTAATTTTAGGAAATTGGAACTCAGCCGATACTTGCATGAGAAACCGATTTTACATATATTTTTTATTTTTAACAACAATTGTCTGAACTTCATTTATATTTCAGAGCACTACATCATGGCCAGTTAAAACAAGTTTGTATTGTTTCTAGGATATTGTTCAAGGGTATGTTTTTCAAAAAAAAAAAAAGGAAAATTGAAGATGCATTGTGACCTTCTAATACCTGACAGTAGGGCTGAGTACCGAACCGAGGTTCTTTTTTGGCACCGACCGAACTGCACCGGTCGGTGTATGTATTGAAACATCACTCTTCTTTCGGTGTCAAGTTTCGGTATTGGCTGTAACGTGTCACGTGGTTTCAGCATGCAGGCAGGCAAAACGTCAGACATATGACAAACAGACTACACCCAGATTACATCCAGAGCTGTATAGAGCTGCCGTACCTAATCTATGTATAATTATGTCTATGGTGCTGGTGACGCCCACAGACGGGTTCACTTGTGCAGCGCGTGTTGTCGAAGCGCGCTGCTGAAAGTTGCTCCGTGTTTTTCTGCGAGGAGAGAGGAGTTCATTAGCCTCCCCCCTCCTCCTCCTCCTCTCAGCATTAAAGTCAGCCTGTGAGTAGAGCCTGAACGTCCTGATTCATTATCTCCATGACCAGACTCTTCATCAAAGAACTCCGAGGACGTCTCTGAGTTTCAGCAGGTGAGTTATGTTTGTTAGTGTAACTGCAGCTTAACACGTACATCGCGGTGAAATAAACTATGATCCATGTAACGCTAACTTTAACATATTAGTGTGTAAATTTATTTTATCTACATAGCTAGCTAAACTCAGAAGCTAACTAAAGATTGACAGCAACATAAATCTTAGCTTGTAAAAATGTGCTCATCCATTGGATCAGCTGCTTAAACATTTCACTAATGTTGACTGTTTATGTTCATGTTCTCCTCACAGGAGGTTCTGACCCAGATGTGAGGACAAAAGAAAAGCGAGGTGGGCGCCACAGGACAATCCGACTTTGTTGTTAAAAATTTGCTGCTTTTTCTACAGTGGAGCTGCATGTTGGAGGTAAATTAAACTTTAAAGGATTTTGTTGACCAGTTAAACCTTTATCTCTCAGCCTAGATAATGTTTTTTGAGTAATAATAACACAACCATGTTATTGTTGATGTTTTGTTCTAATGTCAATTAGGGAGATGATCAGAGCCCTAAACCCAGAGAACCACAGAAAGATTCAGGCAGAGGTACAGATGTCTGCATCAACCCTAACCTCATTGAATCCAGTGACCTGCTGGTGGGATGTGAGGGACAATATGTCAAACTGACAACCAGGTGTCTGTGTGTGCAACAATCTTCATCTACAGCCTCAGAGTGAACATGTTCTACTGCTGGAGACACCATCAGCCAGGAGCATCTTGTTTGTGTCCAGAGAAAGCAGACATGTTGATGTTTCTGAACAAAAGCTGTTCAGTGAAAAGGTCCTCAATGTGTAGCAGTGAACATTAGACACTGACGTGTCACTGGTTTGTAACTGGTCTTTTGACCTGGAAATTATTTGTTTGTTTTTATGTAAGAAAACTGCTTGGAATAGAAAAATACCAAAGTTAAAAAATAAAATTTACAATTTGTACTGTAATGTGTAACGTAATTTTATTCTTGTTAGAATTAATATTAATTACAAAATTGGTACCGAAAAAAGAACCGTCCAGGAACCAACACCGAAGTGAAGGTACCGACACTGGTACCGATACCGATTTTTTTAGAACGGTACCCAGCCCTACCTGACAGTGTCGCTTTTAAAACAAAATCAGTATCGGCCAAAATTGGAATCGGTAGGTCACTTTTTAGAAATCAATGATCGGCCAGAAAATTGCAATTGGTGCATCCCTAGGGAAAAGCATGCAAAACAATTACAAACCCTGTTTTCATTTTACAAAAAAGAGCTTTTCATTTAGAACTAGTCTGAAGGAACTGCATTGTAATTCAGGGAACAGGATTGTGGAATTGGCTTGATATCACCATAAAAAGCTCTAAAACCATTTATATGTTTAAAAAGATGATTAAGTTAAAGTTGCTAGGAAACTATGATACCATGTGAAGAATGCCTGATGTTGTTTGTTTTCGCTTTGGGGTTCAAGCCTGAGTTGTTGTTTGTAATTATTTATTTATTTTTTAAATAAAGGAACAGATATTCTTCTTCTTTCTGCACCATTTTCATTCAATGTTTTTTTTTTTTCTTTTGGATGAATTTGTTTTGTTTATTTTGTTTCTCTTAAATTAATTAATAAATTTATAAGACATTGACAAAGTTGAGCGTTTTATGTTTATTTGATGGTGATTTCAAAATTTTTTGAAGGCTATATATAAATATAAGGTGAAAATTAATTTGTTTGTACAGTTTTTCTGAGGCTTTTATATTGTTTATATCGATATTGAATTATATCGTTATTGACTGAAATTAAGAAATATATTGTGATAAAAGTTTTGGCCATATCGCCCATCTCTGTATTTTTCTAATTTTAGCGATATTACGCAGGTGGAAGAAGGCAGTTCTAGTAACGTTTTTAATGTGGGAGATAAAAGACATGTCCTGATCAAAAGTAACACCAAGATTTTTAACAGAGCTGGAGGTCAGATTAATGCCATCTAAGGTGAGCGAAACACTGAAAAATTTATTCCTAAGATGCCCAGGTCCAAGAAACAAAACCTTAGTCTCGTCTGTGTTCAAAAACAGAAAATGTATGCCCCTTTTCCCTTAGTAACGGTACGGCCCGACTGGACCCGACTCAGCCCGGTTCCAAGGCTTTCCCATTAGTAATGGTATGTAGAACCTGACCCTATTTTCAGGACACTTGGCTCTGTGGTTCTGACCTGGCCGAGTAGGTACGAAAAAGTGATGTCAGAACATTGTTGGTCACTGATTGGTCAGGGGCGGAGTCACTGGATCTTCCAGAAACTTTTCAAAACAATGATCCGCCATTTGCAACTTCTCAGACCGGAGCAGCGGCTGGACCTATTTGAAAGATTTTAAAAACAATAATGGCAACACCTTGGTCTAACGCTGACATGCTGGCGTTTTTTGTGCTTGGTGGCCGACGACAAAATTCAGAGCAAGCTGGATGGAGCTCTGCTGGTCTCCCCGGTCCTCTCCCCCCGGAGCCTTGGAGCCAGACTGGGCAGGGCGCCGTCTCCCCAGCTCCGAGTTACGCTGGTCTGCCCTGTCTGTCAGTTATATTTGTCTATGAAACCCATTGAATCCAATCAGCTACTTGGACTACAAGCATGTCTTAAAGACATACGAACCTGGATGACCCTAAATTTTCTGCTTTTGAACACAGACAAGACTGAGGTTTTAGTTTCTGGACCTGAGCATCTTAGGAATTAATTTTTCAATCTTTCACCCTCCTTGGATGGCATTAATCTGGCTTCCAGCGCTAATGTTAAATATCTTGTCATAAGGGCTGGATATCGTTCAAAAATTTTCGATAAACAGTTTGGTTTTAATAAAAATAGAAACTGTTAACTTGAAATGAAAATAGCTAAATTTAAGAGGCTTTCATTTTTAAATTCCACATCAGATCTTTGTGAAAGTTGCTCAGTAACGTCTGAAGGTGTGCTACAGTCAGCCTGAAGTGAGACTGTTCTTTAGAGACTTAACAGTTTTGTTTTAGTATTATTGGAAACTTCAGGGAAACCAAATTAACATTCTCACATAAAGAACAAACAAATGACCACACAAAATGGTGTCAAAAGCAAAAACATGGATCCATATTCACAGGCGGACATTAAAACTAATTTTGTATCATAGCAATTATATCATTCACAGCTTTTATTTTGAAAACACCTAGCACACGTTACTACTACCATTTATAGTGTTTGCATGCACAAGAAAACCATCATTTTGGAAGTGTAGGCTGGCTTGACTGCAGTTTTTTACTGTCTGACATTCTCAGGGTAGGGGCAGGAGCTACATGCCAGACCACAACCAACCGCACGTTTTTTTGTTGTTGTTACAGATGAAGTTCGTGTTAATTGTGTGAAGCTGAGAAGAGTTTCTGGGTGAGTGATTCATCAGTTCGCTGGTATCGAGCCACACATCAGGGTTACATAGGTATGTATTTATTTACTGCAGTCTAAAGTGAAGTGTGGAGCTAAGCCGTGTTAGGAACCATTTTGATCTTGCAATCAAGCCGTCTGCAATTTGAACTTGTTGAAAAAATCTTTCTCTTCACAGCTTGTTACGACATCACGTTGCAATGAAATTCATCTAGAAAATGCAGTCCTCTACACCAAAATATCTAGGAATTCAGAAATAGAATCTTTCTGGTATATTAGTTTAAATATTTGTTAACATACAGTATAATCAGAACAGTCACTTCAGTACTGTCCATTTATCAAAATGCTGTAACAACAAACTAAAATACATGTTGTCAAGTTTCATTCAAAAGAATATTGTAAGCGGTTTTACTGTGATATATACAGGTACTGGTCATAAAATTACAAATCACAAAAAGTTGATTTATTTCATTAATTCCATTCAATAAGTGAAACTTGTATATTATATTCATTACACACAGACTGATATATTTCAAATATGTATTTCTTTTAATGTTGATGATTATAAACGACAACTAATGAAAACCCCAAATTCATTATCTCAGACAGTTAATATTGTGAAAAGGTTCAACATTGAAGACACCTAGTGTCACAGTCTAATCAGCTAATTAGCTCAAAACACTTACAAATACCTTTAAATGGTCTCTCAGTCTAGTTCTGTAGGTTACACAATCATGGGGAAGACTGAGGACTTGGCATTTGTCCAAAATACGACCATTGACACCTTGTACAAGGAGGGCAAGGCACAAAAGGTCAATGCTGAAGAGGCTGGCTGCTCACAGAGGTCTGTGCCAAGCACATTAATAGAGAGGCAAAGGGAAGGAAACAATGTGGTAGAAAAACGTGTACAAGCAATAGGGATAATCGCACCCTGGAGAGGCTTGTGAAGCAAAACCCATTCCAAACGGGGGGGGGGGGGGGGGATATTCACAAAGAGTGGACTGCAGTTGGAGTCAGTGCTTCAGGAACCACCACGCTCAGACATATGCAAGACAAGGGTTTCAACTGTCACATTCCTTGTGTCAAGCCAGTTCTGAACAAGAAACAGCGTAAGAAGCGTCTCGCCTGGGACTACTGCTGAGTGGTCCAAAGTTATGTTCGCTGATGAAAGTTAATTTTGCATTTCCTTTAGAAATCAATGTCCCAGAGTCTGGAGGAAGAGAGGAGAGGCACAGAATCCATGTTGCTTGAGGTCGAGTGTCAAGTTTCCACAGTCAGCGATGATTTGGGGGGCGATGTCATCTGCTGGTGTTGGTCCACTGTGTTTTCTGAGGTCCAAGGTCAATGCAGGAAGTTTTAGAGCACTTTATGCTTCCTGCTGCTGACCAATTTTATGGAGATGGAGATTTTGTTTTCTATCAGGACTTTGCACCTACCCACAGTGCCAAAGTTACCAGTATCTGGTTGAAGGACCATACTATCCCTCTCCCACCATTGGAGCCAACTCGCTACCAGGTAGGGATCAGTGGACAGCTCCGCCCTTTTCTTCACCCGAGTGTCCAAGACACGTGGCTGCAGATCAGATGAGACAACGACAAAGTCGATCATCGAACTGCGGCCTAGGGTGTCCTGGTGCCAAGAGCACATATGTACACTTTTAAGCTTGAACATGGTGCTCGTTATGGACAATCCATGACGAGCACAGAAGTCCAACAACAGAACACCACTCTGGTTCAGATCAGGGGGGCCGTTCCTCCCAACCACACCCCTCCAGGTTTCACTGTCATTGCCCACGTGAGCATTGAAGTCTCCCAGCAGAACAAGGGAGTCCCCAGGAGGTGCACTTTCCAGTACCCCCTCCAAGGACTCCAAAAAGGGTGGATAGTCTGATCTGATGTTTGGTGCATAAGCACAAACGACAGTCAGAACCCATCCCCCCTCATGTAGGCAGAGGGAGGCCACCCTCTCATTCACCGGGGTGAACCCCAACACACAGGCACCAAGATGGGGGGCAATAAGTATGCCCACTCCTGCTCGGCGCCTTTCACCAGGGGCAACTACAGAGTGGAGAGTGTCCAACCCCTCTCAAGGAAACTGGTTCCAGAGCCAGAGCCCTGCGTAGAGGTGAGTCCAACTATTTCTAGCCGGAACCTCTTAACCTCACACACCAGCTCAGGCTCTTTCCCCACCACTGAGGTGACACTCCACGTCCCAATAGCCAGCTTCTGTAGCCAAGGATCAGACCGCCAGGGTCCCCGCCCTCAGCCACCACCCATCCCACATTACACCCGACCACTTTGGCCCCTCCCACAGGTGGTGAGCCCATGGGAAGGGGGACCCACGTCTTCTCTTAGGGCTGTGCCCGGCCGAGCTCCATGGGTAAAAGCCCGGCCACCAGGCACTCGCCTGCGTGCCCCACCTGCCCCACCTCCAGGCCTGGCTCCAGAGTGGGGCCCCGGTGACCCACGTCCGGGCGAGGGAACATCAAGTCCATTTTTTTTCTCATCACAGGGGAGTTTGGGCTGTACTTTGTCTGGTTCCTCACTTAGGACCTGTCTGCCTTGGGTGACCCTACTAGGGGCGTGAAGCCTCTGACAACATAGCTCCTAGGATCATTGGGACACTCAAACCCCTCCACCATGGTAAGGTGGCAGCCCAGGGAGGGCTCACTTTCTCTTTTCTCTTTAAAATCTGTTTTAACCATCCAAAATCGTGTTTTTGGATCGTTAAAAGCAGCTAAGTTGAGAAGTTAAGCTACGAGCTAAGCTAACAAGTCAACCTCGGGAAAAAAACTGTTTTGTCAAAGCTCCAGAATTCACGGTTGAAACCCGTGCCTTTGTGTAAAAAGGTGTTTTTCTGTGCAAAAAGAAGCTGATAACTTCTTTACTGACTTTTTATTAAATGCTTTGTGTAACAAATGCTATGCTAAAGAGCTCAAACCACACCGAGCGACTGCCATTTTAAGAACCGAAAACATGAAGGAGAGACAGACCATGTCATGTCAAGAGGGCCTCCCTCAAATTTTTAAAAAAAAGACACGCTGCTCGCTCCCTCACTATCCATCCTTCGGTTCAAACAGTCGTATACTGCCATCCGGTGGTCAGAAACAAGTACTACACACAAAACAAATTACAACATTTCTTCTTAAATTTGTCAATAATTACTAATTATTGTCAAATCTCAAACAATATTATCGTTTATCGCAATAATTTCTGAGACAATTAATCGCCCAGCAAAACTTGTTATCGTGACAGGCCTTATCATAAATATCAGCTAATTTGAATCCTACACTGTATCAAAGCATTAAAAACATGGATTTGGGGATTTGGATGAGCTAAAGTGTTTATATTTGGAACCAGACTGTGTGAAAAATGTAAAATGCATTTAATGACTAAATGTGAAATATAAATGTTGCCTTCTCAATAACAGGTGGTTTGCCTGTATTATTACCAATCGTGTGGTTTTTAATGTTCCAGTATTTTTAGCAACAAGAACATCCCTAACATGTAATTTATAACGGCAACCTTCATAATGCACAAGTTGATTCTCAGTGATAAAACTCTTAAAGGTTGACATTGGAAGGGCGATTTAGCTGTTAGATAACTGTTATTTTCAAAGGGTGATATTTAAAAACAAAACTTTATCATAAATGGTCCTTTGTTCAGAACAGAATAACTTAAAATTAAAATTGTGCCTTGAAAATTTGTTATTTTGTAGTAATATGCTGATATTATCAATGCAGACAGAAGATGGTGATTGTGAGGGTAAAATAATGTGTGTGTGTGTGTGTGTGTGTGTGTGTGTGTGTGTTTTGAAGTAACATTGTCCTTAATGTACATGTGTTTCAGTGGTTCCTGTCTGTTTGGTGCTGATTAAAAGAAGAAGCTCCTTAACATGGAAGGCCTGATGTGGACCAACAGGACCCAGAGCCTCTTATAGAGTGGAAGAGAAGATCCTTGGACCAGTCTGGTGGGAGACCAACTCAATATGGAGGAGACAGATATCAGGTTTTTGGTCACTACAGTTCCTTTAAAGAGTGAGGAGGATTATAAAAAACTTACCAGGAACCCAGATTTAAAGAGTCACAAAGACTGTTCCAGCTCTTCAAAAACTGACATTAATAAGGATGAAGAGGATGATGAAATGACCAATCCTGACTCTCTGCTAAAGAACTCATCAGACTTTGAATCAGAACGTGAAGATGGTATGAAAAACTGGAAGGAGAGCAGGGCTTCTGAATCAGAGGTCAAAACTGTCAACAAATCTTTGAGCTGCTCTGAGTGTGGTAAGAAGTATGTCAGTAATCTGACTCTTCAAAGACACATGACTAGTCATTCAGGAGTGAAATCTTCAAGCTGTCTACTTAATAAGAAATGTATTGGAGAGAAGAAAAATGTAGACTCACGCAGGAAAGTCCAGGCAAGGCCAAAATCAATAAGCTGTGATGACTGTGGTAAAATATTTACTTGCGAATCAAAATTAAACAGACACATGACAGTCCACACTGGCGACAAGCCATTTCCTTGTGAACTTTGTGGACAAAGATTTACTCGAAAGCACACTTTAAATTCACACATGAGAGTCCACACAGGAGACAAACCGTTTCCTTGTGAACTTTGTGGACAAAGATTTAATTGGAAGAAGGCTTTAAGCTCACACATGAGAGTTCACACAGGAGACAAACCGTTTCCTTGTAAACTTTGTGGACAAAGATTTAGTCATAAGACACATTTAAACAGACACATGAGAGTCCACACAGGAGAAAAACCGTATCTTTGTGAACTTTGTGGACAAAACTTTAGTGATAAGACGACTTTAAACATACACATGAGAGTCCACACAGGAGAGAAACCCTTTACTTGTGATTTTTGTGGACATAGATTTAGTCAGAAAACACATTTAAACGCACACATAAGAGTCCATACAGGAGACAAACCCTTTCCTTGTGAACTTTGTGGACAAAGATTTACTGTGAAGACAAATTTACATACACACATGAAAGTCCACACTGGAGACAAACCATTTCCTTGTGATCTTTGTGGAAAAAGATTTAGTCTGAAGACAAGTTTAAACTCACACATTAAAGTCCACACGGGAATGAAAAATTTATTTCTGTAAATATTAAAATAATTATTGTATGTAGTCGTATGGGGTGTAATATGTATAGATCATCAGTTATGAGTTAAGATCATAAAATATGCATGTATTATGTAAATAACCTCGTTTTGGGCATCACCTATGTATAGGAAATTAATCAAGTCTAATGAATCAGTCTCTTTACCCCAAAATAACATGAGTGCTCCTCCCATTTTTAACCTCCTGAGACCCTGCGTCCACATATGGGGACGTTACATTTTGACTTTGCTGTACCTTATACTTCACTTTGTTCAATAGTGTCTTATACTTTGTTAAGCCATGTTAATGTTGTTTTATACTGTAAAATAAGCCCATTGTCCCTATCCCAGGACTTTTTATTTTTATTTTTACAAAAGTATGTCATAACCATGTAACAAAATACAACTTCCTGTTCGAAGAGGAATCTTTATTTATACACAAATCAGGTCCATCTAATCACAAATATCTAGGAGATATGACAAATGCATCGCAAACCAGAGCTCGGATCTCAGGAGGATAAAGATTTCAAATCAATTAACACACAGATAGCTGAATAATAATCACAGAATCAGTTATGATTTTTAAGCATTTATTATAAAAAATAATAATCTGTGATATACAGTATATATATGATCATGTATGCCTGGAAAATGTTACCAAATATAAAATGATGTCTGAATCCAAGTCTAACTGATGATTAAAATTGCTGAAACTTTATAAGGCAGAGTTTAGGACTTGTGGTCTGTAAAATATATTTCTAAGTCGGTGTTTCCCCTAGATAACTTGCCATGGCGGGGCGCTCATCTCTTCCGTTGGACGGACGAACGGAGACTTGTTTAAACCAACAGTTTTGGGGGGGGGGGCACAGAGACAGCCACGCGCTGTTTGCCCTGACAGTTTGAGAGCAGGGTGTGTGAGAGGAGAGAGACAGTGACACATCTCAGCCGCGTGCTGTCTGAACCAACAGTTTTCGAGTGGCGAGGGTGCATTCAGCGTGAGGGTTCAACATGAAGGAAGAAGCTGCCTTTAGCTTTTTAGCTAGTGCACCTGCATTGCGAGCCGCTAGTTTAGCGTTACGTCAGTGCCGATAGGTGGTTGGGGTGGTGTTCGGTAGATGGGGCACTCAGTTTTGTTGGCGGGGCGCCCTGCTTGTATAATGGTAGGGAAAACACTGTAAGTGAATTGTGTTCTAAGATTACTTATGTAACCGCTGTAATCAGGGCTTAATTTGTAAACTTTGCCAGAACGCAAATAGTGGGCAGACCGGCTGGGGGAGGGCTTTCCTGGGGAACACGCATGTTTACAAGACAAGAACCTGACAAGTTGTTTAATGACATAAAATTTATTTTGTTAGCAAATAATAGAGTCCTAACATTTATTAAACATTACTTCTGTATTTACCAAAAAAAACCCAACAACATTGAAATTGTGCTTTGACAAACTCATCGATAAAACTAAAACATTTTGTCAACGCGAAAGAGGTGCAAGTATCACTCTTGCTCTGAGTGTATGCTCTTTGTTGCATGCGCTTTGTGGGTGACAAGCATCCAGAGCATCATAAAAACAGAAGTGGAGATGTCTGAGTTATTTATTTGTCGTCTCAGTAGCAGAGGGGAGCGACACCGTTCAAGCATGGCTCCCAAAATGACATGGTAGTCATATTTGTTCATAACTTTATTAGTAAGCCTGAGAGTTGTCGGATCCAAGCAAACAGTTGCCAGAGCACACCCTGACAAAATGAGAGTTTCCAGATTTTGTTCCAGCAAGATCCGGTTCAAATTAAGCACTAGCTGTAATGTCAGGTCACCAGCAAACAGACGAAAACCTGAATCCTACTAGGACGCAGATCAATCAGCTTTTGAGATAGCGTGCAGGTTGATTGGCCGATATCAGGAGGAGATCTCGGAAGTCAGGACCTCAGATGTCCGAGCCGCTTCGAAGAGACGGATGCTCCTTTCGCTTTACAGCCTCCAAATGGATACCAGACAGAACATGCAGCAAGTCCATTTAAGCAACCTCTGAAGTGGAGATCTCCGAGTTGTCTGAAGGATGAAAGGCAGCATTCTTTTTCTCCATCTGGTTTTGGTTGTTACCTGTGGAATAGGTCAACGTCGTTCACGCTGCAAAGCTGACCGGTACTGACTGGTGGTTATAAATATTATCTTGGTGCTGATGCATAAATCAGGTTTTGATGCTCTAGAACTCATCAGTGGCTGACAAAATGTAACGGTCATCTTAGTTGAAAACTTGCCTGAACTTTAAATAAAAACTAACTTTTAACAGTTAGAAAATCTTTGTGCTCCATTTTCCTTCTCATCTCTCATTTCTCTAGAAACGTAATTTTAGAAGGTACTTCTTCAATCAACTCTGCTCTGAAGTCCTAAACAAAACTTAACTTGCTGCGTTAAAACAGATCTGATTGGTCCACCTATCAAGAGAAAGGCGTGGCCTCCAACTTCTAACCCAATCAGCGGTCATGATTAGACTTTAGGGCGTTTCTGAAACTTAGAGCCTTTGTTTCATATAAAGAGGATGATTAAATAATCTGAAATCCTTATCTGCCTTTAAAAGTTTCATACGACAAAATTGTACAAGTATTATTACTTAAAACATACATTTCTCATGAATATTCAAGCATGGAATGAAACATTAGAAATTACATCTTAAAATTAATATTCAAATAACATTCAATGTTTTGATTGAGAGGGGTGCGGATGACCATAAATGTGTTCCTGGAGAAGGAAGGTCATTAGAACAGACAAAGGCTCCTTATTGCACCATCTTCCTATGGGAACGAGGCTGAGAAAAGTACTTCTTTTTTGATAAGGGAAGATATCAAACATAACGAGTGCGGATGTTTCCAAAACTCCGAGGTCAGTTGAACAAAGCCTCTTTAAAACGATCTCTCAGTTCATACAAAGGCCTTGAGTTCAATATTGGGTTTAACAGTTAACACAGAATATTTGAAAAATGACATTGGTTTCCAACAAAAGGACAAATATTATTTTAACAGATTCAAACAAAGTAATGTATCTTTCTGAGGTCAGATGTACAGAATAACATCTTATTACAAGTCTGTGAGCTGAAACTGAAGAATCTTTTATAAACATGACATTTGTTCAGAACTAAATGGATGACTCTTATTTTAATCGTTTCAAACATACAAATATGAGTGACGTTTGTTTCTGAGGTGAGGTGTCCCTCAACATATAGGCCTTTAGATGCAACTGGTATCACCCAATTCAATTTTGTTTTTATTTTGTAAAAAAAAAAAAATTGTGAATTTTCAACAAGTTCCCAAACTATGAATTGCTCCTATTTTCTCAAGAATTCTTTAAAAATAGTAACCAGTGTTTCCCCTACCATTAGGGGAAACCAGTGTTTCCCCTACCATTTTTCCCCATGTGGCACCCCATCCCATTAATAAAAACAGAGCACTCCACCTACTGAACCGAACTGCGCACACACCCCACACCCTTTGGTACCACTTGCGTAACGCTAAGCTAGCTGCGCGCAATACAGGTGCGTTAACAACAAAAGCTAAAGGCAGTGCTTACGCTGCCTCTTTCCTCACACTGAACCCCCGCCCGCATGAACACTGCCAGTGCAGCTCAGCAGTATCCCCCCCCCCCAAATGGACCCAAATGTGCACCCAAAATGGACGATGCCCAGAAATGTGTTATTCCTGTAATTCCTGAGGAAAAAGTGATTTTATTCATGTTTTTGAGAGAAATTAGTTGAAAATCAAGGTATGTGTGTAGAAGTAAACACCAAGTTGATGCACTACCACTAAACATTTTGAAAGTTACAAAGATGCTTCACTGATTCAAAATTTCCATAAAGTGAACCAAAACCATGAACACTAGACCTGACGACTTCTGCATGGCCACACCACCATAAAAAAATTCCAGATTGTCTTTAGCTGCTAATAATGAGAGCACTTCACAGCAGCTGCCCAGATTCATGCAACCTTTATTTAGACATGTTAATCCCATTGAGCCTCGGGGACTCATTTACAAGAGAGATCTGATTCCTTAACAAAAAGTGTTGACAAGAATGGATAACGACAACAACAATAGACAGTCATAAAATAGGCATACAGATTTTTTTTTTTTACAAATCAAAATAAAATTGCAACCAAAAGGACAATCAAGAGAAATGGTAGCAAAGGAAAAAAACAGCTATATAATAAGGCGTTTTAGAAAACTAAAAATAGGAACATGTTTGCATTGGTTTTTGCCAGGAACTTAACAGATGTTTAAATTCACTTAGAGGTCAAGGACTAGAGCTTCAGATCTTTTTGCAAGATATTCCAGAAAACAGTAGCAGAATAGGAGAAGGCCCTTTTGCCTAGTTCAGTCCTCAGAGGGAACACTGCAGGTAACAATAATGATGATAATAATAATAATAATAATTAGGGGTGTTCCTTAATTTTGGGAAATTGGCCGATACTTCAATCAACCTTTATTTATACAGGTAAATCCCATCGAGCCTCGAGGACTCATTTACAAGAGAGACCTGATTTCAACAAAGAAAGATGACAACAATGGACAACAGCAACAACAATAAACAGTTATAAAAAAAGCATACTACAGTTTTTTTTGTTTTTTTTTAAACAAGTAGGATGGCTAAAAGGAAAAAGGTAGCAAAACAAACAAACAAAAAAAAAAAACAGCTAGATTCCAAGACAAATGTAGAAAACTAACAACAGGAACATGTCAGCATTGGACCCTGCCAGGTGTCCAACAGATTCTTAAAGACACTTAGAGAGGTCAAGGTCGAGAGCTTCAAATCTTTTTGTAAGATGTTCCAGGAAACAGGAGCGGAATAGGAGAAGGCCCTTTTGCCTAGTTCAGTTCTCACTGAGGGAACACTGCAGGTAATAATGTCCTGAGAGCGCACGCTGTATCTGCACTCACGCAGAGACATGTAGGAGGAGATGTATGAAGGCAGCAGACCAAGAAGTGATTTAAAGATGAAAATGTACCAGTGAGAGAGTCTGC